GGAGTTGGGGGAGGGGGCGGGTACCCGTTGACCCGCGGAGGAGGGAACCTGGGGAAGGGACTGTAGGCCCAGCTGGGTGAAAGGAGCAGGAGTTGAGGGGTGAGGAGAAAGGGCCCGACCGAGATCGGTAACTTGTGGAGAATTCTGGGAGAAGAGTCGGAGTGACGGGACTAGAGTTGAAGGGGCGAAGGGGCAGATGGGATGCGGAAAATGACTTCGGATTAAGAGGACTAAAGCCCTACTAGAAGGTAGGCGCAGTGGACACCTATGGGACAGGAGTGAGAGAGCTCGGTGGGAACTAGTGGTTGTAGGGAGGAAGGGCCCAGATTTAAGTAAAGAAGGTTGAGTGCTGGGGAGTTGAAGGTGAGCTGGAAATGTGAGGATGTAGTTGTCCCTGACTGAGATGATATTAGGGAGAAAGGGAGAGGAGACTTGGGGTGGGTACTCTCGGGCTGGGGGGATAGCTTTGGCACTGTCTAGTCTTCTCCAGGTATTCTTATCTTTACTTTTTTGTTCGTTTCTGCGGGGGACACTTGACCTGAAGGCCACCTGGGACTCAGAAAGTTCCCCAAGTCTTTCTTGTGAAACCAAGCTACAGTTCATTTATTTGATAAAGTATAAGTGCTTTCTGATTTTTGCGTTGTTGCCACATGTAATTGTTTCCAGACTTGCGTCTTAGCGTTAAGACTCGATATAAAAAAGATTTTATGTTAAACTGAGATAAAAATTTGAGACTTTGGGGACTCCGTGAAGTATTGCAAGAACAGATTTGGTATTTTATATTTATTAAACATACTGTATTCTATTCTAATCTCACTAGTGTTTTATCTCACTCAGTTTTAATTATTAGTATTTGAGAATTTGGATAGTTGTAATGGATGTTTTCCTGTTGAATTTTATGAGGTTTGATGGGAAAAACAACGTATTTAGTTCTCAGTGATAGCTCTTTCTAGTTAATGTCCTAACCTAGTTATACTGAACGTTTCTATATTACTGTAAGTGGAACTTTAATATTAAGTAGAATTTTACGAATTTGTTTCTAGTCCATCCTATTCATTGTTATTTATTGAATGCCTACTGTGTTTCAGTAATACATTATAATTATGGAGAATTAGTGTTTCTCTAGTAAATATCTCTGTTAATGTCCAGAAGATAATTTATTAACCTACTATGGCCTCATTGTAAGAAAAGTGTTACTTTAGAAATGAGTCAAAGTAAAGTACTGTGTATGAATGTAAAAACTTTGAGTTCCTCTTTTGTTTAGTATTTGTTTGTTTTGTTTTTTTGGTTTTTTGAGACAGGGTCTCACTATGTGGTTGAGACTGACCTGGAACTCATTATGTAGCCGAGGCTGGTCTCGAACTCATAGCGATCCTCCTGCCTTGGTCCCCTTAGTGCTGGGATTACAGGTGTGCATCATCACACCCGGCTTCTTTTGTTTAGTATTTAAGATTCATGCCCTCGTCAGGACATATTTTATATATGTATCTGCTTTTATTTTGATTTTGAAGACGATAAGAGTGTCCTGATAATATTAGGTCTGTAGGCAGTCTCTCTCTCTCTTTTTTTTTTTGGTACTGGGGATCTAACTCAGGACCTTGTTCTTGCCAGCAGGCACTGTGCCACTGAGCTACATCCCCAGTCCTATAGACAAGTCTCATCGATAGTAGTTAGTGCACATTTCTTTGTCTGACAGGTATCACTTGATCTTGTATGTTTTTTTATTTTCTTGTCTAGTATTAAAATGAGAGTCCTTGGTAGGGAGGGGAAGGTTGGGGGAAAATAAAATGAGAGTCCTTGAAGTTTAATTTAGTGACTAAAATTCTTCTAGAATATTTTCAGCATTATAGATGTAATATCTTTTTTTTAAGATGTATCTTTTAGCGTATACATAGCAGTATTCATTTTTCTTATAGTTTAATGAGTTAGGATATTCAAATGTAGATCACTTTGAGTGTAAACTTTTCCCCCATATATTAATCAAATAAATATAAGATACCATTTATTCTTTTTTTTTTTTTTTTTTTTTTTTTTTTTTTTTTTTTTTTTTTTTTTTTTTTTTTT